AACTTAGAAAATTTAAAATGGAAGTAAAAAAAAAAAAAAAATTAATTTAGTAGATTTTAGAGATTATTTATGCGTATATAAAACACATGTAAGTGTTACACGTCACGCGTATGAGGCGATTAGGAAAAAAAAAAAAATGCTAATAGTATAAAAAGAGAGAAAACGATAGGCGACAAAAAGGGCCAGATACAACTCGAATTCCCGAGTCTTCTAAAGGAACTCTGTCAATTGAGCATTAAGCTAATACTATACTATTGGTTTATCGTATAGTTTGTAAATAACATTTTTGTTCAATTCAGACTAAAACGATACTGTGTCATTTATTCCGTTTAGGTTGAGCGATTTGTTTATAAAACTTGCCAAAACGACGAGTGTAAGAAAAAGTGGGCATTTACAATCTTACATCGTATACGTACATGTGTATATGGATTTTTATCGAAGCAAACATTCGAATGTAACAAATATTTGAATAATTTAAGTTGTCAAAAAAAGGTGGCTAAATGAGAAATTTGATAGAGTTCCTGCGAATAACGAAACGGTCGTACAAGCACTACGATGCGTTAATATTGTAAAAAGATACCTATGTTAGATGTAAAATAGATTATGGATTGAACAAGAAAAAAAAAGACGAAAGATGCATGCGGTTACAAGATATAAATGTTTCACCAAAAAAAAAAAAAAAAAAAAAAAACACATGATTCACGCTAAAATGAAAGAGAGAAAAAGCGATTGTATACTTAAATACCCTGTGTATCGATAATGGGACCAAACCATTTTTTTCTCCCGTATAAACTCGCTCCACGCGCGTCTCAACGAAATTCTCCTTCCGTTTCATTACGTCCTGTGCATTTCTTATTCGATTGAATTTTCATTTTTTTCTCCCCAATGGGGTAAGTAATAGCACGCAGATGTCGAGCTAATCGTTTTAATTTTCCTTCGAGCTCCTGTCCATCCCTTTACAAATGGTGAAATTTCATCGTAGCGTGAAAAATCGGAACTCTGGTGATACTACTAGTTAAATAATACAAAAAAAAAAAAAAAAAACAGGAAAATCGGGGACTCTGATATAAAAGTCGAGTCTCACGAAATTAGGTATGTATCTGGATTTCTCCGTTTGCCGCAAAATGTAGATGAGTCGCTCGCAATTTATCATGGTCCAGAGACTCGAAACTAAACGAATTTATATTTAGAAAATTTTTGCCAGAACCGTAACACTTTTTTCGGGTACCAAAAGACAAGAACAACAATAAGTACCCCCCGCGGAAGGTATCAAGTTGAATGTAAGATTTGTACAGCGTTTTTAACGATACTTTGAACAGCTGTAACGGTACCTATCATAATACACTTCCAACGAAAATACACTTCAAGCTAATTTCTTCTACGACAGCTCTATATAATATTAATAGCCACGACCACGTAACTATAGAAAAAAAAAAAAAAAAAAAAAAAAAAAAAAAAAGGAAAAAATCTTCCCGTACATATCAACTCGACAGATAGATTGGATTGGTTTAGGAATGACTGGATCCATTCGGCCGTCCATTGCACACGCATCGACAGCAAAAATAATGGACGTAGCAAAGGAAAACAGAGTCCACATGCCAAATTTCAATAATAATCAAACAAAAATCACACCCATGTCTAAAAGAAAATCATTGCGTCGACTCATCGTGCCGTGATGATTATACATACGATATAATTATACGCTATAAGTAACACATGAATTACCGAACCAAATAAACGTTTGTACATAAACAAATGCCGAAAAACCGGCTATTTCTTTCTCATTTATATTTCTATTCCCTTTAGCCGGTCCCGAAATCCCGCGCCGAACCTCCACACCCTTTCTCCGAGCAACCCAGTAAAGAAGATACCAGACAACCCCGATCCCTGCCCTGGATCCGAGCCAGTCCTTGCCTCGGGTACTCTCCACCGCTGGTAAGCTACAAATCGGCAGCAAGTAATAATTTAAAAAAAAAAAAAAAAAATTCTGGCCAAACAACAGTTTTCCCGCAAGCTCTCCACCAGCGCGCTACCGCCGGCACTCGATCGCCACAGCGACTGCGACTGCACGCGACTCGCCCGGCCAAAGGACCACGGCCCAGGCGGTGCAGCCCATCAGCAAGACGAGTGCCTGGATCTCCGCGTCCTACCACCGAGGAAAAAATTCAAGGACAACCACGACGTTGTAATATAAATCCTTCTCGCTGATGTCCACGGAGGTTTTCTGTACAAACTACGACCCGAATCCGGAGCTCCGTACGATGGCTTCTCGATTCCCCGTCGACGCGATACCACAACTCACTCGGGACACTTTTACTTCGTTCCATTGTACGCCTAATTGTATGCGCCTCGAATTTACGCTTAAAAAAAAAAAAAACAAAAAAAAAAAAAACAAAAAAAAACAAAAAAAAAGAAACGAACGAGCATATACAGCTGCGGACAAGGTTGTAAAGCAAAAAAATAAAGACGTAACGTTTTACGACGGCCCACGCTGTGGATTCAGTTGTGTATAAACCGCGAGCGCGAAAGAGAGAGAGAGAACCCGAGATGGACGAGGAATGACACATAAAATGGGATTTAAAGCGTCGCTCGGTGCTTTGATCTCTCATTTCGGTGGCCGCGAACACCGCTTCCGGTTTTTCGTCGGCGAGCCTCCAATCGACAAAACTGTAATGCATGTACACTAAACGCAGTCGTATATATACACATATATGAAGCACGAGAGCGTGCGATGTGGATGTATCGCAACTGTACGACATCAAAATTGGAAATTTTTTTTTTTTTTTTTTTTTTTTGTAACACCTAGTCATGGGGAAAAAAAAAACAAAAAACAAAAGAAATAACGATGCAGTGTATAGACAGACACACGGGGTATGGTAGGTATACGTGCAACAAAAGTGGTTTCGCCACCTCGCGCGTATATATATATATTACGAGCTACCGAGGAACATCGAGGATGGAATTTTTATGGGGCTACCACGCGCTTGTTTGGGGCCGTTTTTTTGTCCGTTCCCTTTTTTACTATTGGAAGACGTGTAAATATCATACCCCTATGGGTATTCTTTTTACGTTTTTAATGGGCGATCCGCCTATACATGTACGGGCAACCACTTGTTTGCAGAGGCTTTTTCGAGTTTTACGAGATTACTTGTCCGATCGACTCGCGCAGGTCTTTTAATCAACGAAAACGTACATTACTTGATGGGTAAGTAAGTAATACTCGGAGGACGAACAAAAAAAAAAAAAAAAAAGAAGGGTGTACTTCTCGCGACCCGTGTACACATACAGTTTGAAGAAACGAAGACGCGCCCATGCACGTCTGGAACGGAGAAACGAGTCCTGCAAACAAACGCGCGCGCATACATCGCTTTGGAGCGTAAAACATTTTACGAGGCTCCATACGGAGGAGCCGCGAGCACATTGTTACAGGTGGAAGGAGCCAAGAGCCTGTGTTGATTTTTCTCATTACGCCGCGGCACGAGATCGATGCCGACTCTCTCTCTCTCTCTGTCGTTTCCCAAGAAGAGACGCAACAATAACCCGCTATATATATTATACTCGACTGTCTCGCGAAACTTGAAAGTATTTACCTGCACGGGGGGATGATGAAGCTACTCGTGCGGTCCGCAAGCCTCCGGGTCACAGCAACCGATCGCCGAACGCACCAAAATCAACCAACTCCCGATGCCGTCGAACCAAACTCGATCAAAATCGCGACAAACACGTAACGACCGTATACTCGCGCACCTGCCCCGAGCGTGACAGTCAGCCCGGCTTTTTCGTAAAAATAATTATATCCGTACAGACGTTACCAGGGTATTGTACATGTACGTGGATGTATGCGTAACGAGGGGCGGCTCTGCACGTATATCATAGGTACGACGAGCACGACTGTAAGTATAGCCGGTGCCATGGGGGCCGAGGAGCTGCTCGTATAGGGATGGAAGAAAAGAAAAATGGAGAGAGAGAGGACCCGAGCCGATCGTAGGACGGGGCGGCTCTCGGGGTACCGATTGGCTTTCGAGCGAATGGGCCCGAGCCCAATGGGAGCGGCCGGCCAATAGGCGGCCACGGTCCGGCCGAATGACGGCCAATTAGCACCGTATCGGCGTGCAGCCGGAGGCCAGCGCTGCTCGTCGCTCACGGCTCCTGGGGCACCCGAGCCTCTCCGAGGCGCAGTCTCCGCGCAGGGTCCGCGCCTCGTTCGCCGGCTAGTGTGAAATATCGCGCCCTGGTGTTACCCCGTGCGCGACTTTTCAGCCGCTCTTTCTCTCTCCCTCTATCTCTCGGGCTCGATTCTCTTGGCTGTCCTTCTTTTTCGCGCTGTACTGTACAAGTGCGCGTTTGTGCCTATTATACCACCCGCGAAAAAAAAAAAAAAAAAAAAAACAGCAGCAGCATCGCCAACCGCTCTCAACAACGGCTCTCTTTGTGTATCAAAAAAAAAAAAAAAAAAAAAAAACAGGAAAATCGGGGACTCTGATANTCTCTCCGAGCAGATACAGCAGCAGCAGCAGCAACAACAGTCCTACCTCAATCTCAACCTCCATCTGCACCATCAGATTTCCTACACGGTAAATCGGATCGATTTACGGTACCTACACACTGGCAAGTTGATAATTGATAAATCCACCGAGGTGCCGGAAGCGACGAAACATACCGATGCTCGGGGTGGTTGGATCGCGTCACGCATGCCGATCTTGGTCGTCGAATTGAATCGAGGAGGATGCAGAGCGTCGGCAAGGAGGAGGAGGGCGGGGAGAGCGAGGGCCGAGCGAGCAAGCAGCAACAGACCGTCGCTCATCTCGAGGATAGGGAGCGCCTCGAGGACAACGGTGGCCGAGGATTGTCGCTGGCCCTCGAGGACCGGGAGCTCTGGACGCGTTTTCAGTGCATCACCAACGAGATGATCGTCACGAAGAACGGCAGGTCCGCACCCATTGCCTCTCGTTTCATGTTACTCTCCGATCTATATTTATTTGAAGATCAAACAAATCGGTATTGCGAACACGGTTTTTTTTTTCTTTTTTTTTTCTTTTTTTTTTTCTTTTTTTTTTATTGTACGTTGGGTCACTTTGTTGTGGTTTGAAAGCAAATGAAGAGGGCGATGCGCACTGGTCAATAAATAAAAAGGCCTGAGAATTGCACCCCGAAAAGCACATCACGAGCAGGCACAATAAACGAGAACTCAAGGGGGGGGGGGCAACGATATAATATACGAGCAATAAGTAGCGGCAACAGGTCGTTCGAACTCGATATTATATCTATCCGTCCATTCTTTTATGCGCGTCTCTTGTAGTGCAGGGATAAAACAACAAAAAAAAAAAAAAAGAAGGGGAAAAGGATGAAAAAAAAAAAAAAAAAAAAAAGAAGGGGAAAAGGATGAAAAAAAAAAAAAAAAAAAAAAGTTGGCCGCGCAATAAAGTTTTACAACACGGCGGCACGTTGAGATGTTTCCTCTGATCGTGGGACCGCGTCTACGGTGCACGCGCGCGCTCATCGGACCTTTTACCCAATGGCTACGATATAATATATTGTATACCCACCTAGTGCATGATGAGAATCGTATCTCTCTTGGTTAAATAAACGCAGGGGTGAAACAACGGGTGGAGAGAGATAAGAGGAGAAAATAAAAAAATAATAAAAAAAACGTTTTTCCGACCCGGCTGCCGTCGGGCTGTAAAGTATAGTAGCCGCAGTAGGTAGCAGGTATGTGTATGGACATAGAGATACACGAGAAAGGATAAATGATGAATCCATGCGTCGGGAGCTTATTCGAATTCCGAGCAAAATGGTGTTTACTCTGCGCCTTTCCTCGTTCGGCGGATTTTTTTTTTTTTTTTTTTTTTTTTTTTAAACACAGTCTCGTACATTTATTCTCTTTCGATATGGTTTAACAACGTTCCAAGTCGTGAAACTCAAATGCACTACCTCACGATGGTAAATTTTAATGTTACGAGCGTAATTAATGTGTTAAAATTTTGTAAAACTCAGGCGGATGTTCCCGGTGGTGAAGGTAGTAGCGCGCGGCCTGGAGCCAGCCGCCATGTATACGCTGCTGCTCGAGTTTGTGCAGATCGATCCTCACAGGTGAGACACCTTTTGAGCAATTGTTTAACAATACGTTTGTAAAAATATACATGTATATAATATACATTATGCGCGTAACAGCTCCAACATCCAAATTAGCAGCGCATAATTGTTTGAAACGTAACAACGGGCTATTTTTATCTCGTACGCGAAAGATTGCGTCACCGGCGCAAGTTCGTACACGTATATACTATATATACCTGTGCACCGTTTAATCACCTTCCAGATGGAAATACGTAAACGGCGAATGGGTGCCGGGAGGCAAAGCTGAGGTGGCACCCCCGAATCCGATCTACATTCACCCGGAGAGCCCAAATTTCGGCGCCCACTGGATGAAGGAAGCCGTCTCCTTCGCCAAAGTCAAGCTGACGAACAAATCGAACGGCACCGGTCAAATAATGCTCAACTCGCTGCACAAGTACGAGCCACGCGTTCACCTCGTGCGCGTCGGCGCCGAGGAGCAGCGAACGGTACATGACTCTTGTTTCCTTTCTTCTTCCTGCCATCCCCGATTTTTATGCAAATTCACATACACGGTGTCTCTCGGCAGGTTCTCACGTACAGATTTCCAGAGACCCAATTTATTGCGGTGACAGCCTACCAGAACGAGGAAGTCACGGGTCTCAAGATCAAGTACAACCCCTTTGCCAAGGCTTTTCTCGACGCCAAGGAGCGCCCAGCGGACTCGCAGCCGTATCCCCAATGTAAACATTATTGTACACTTTTACACCGTTACTCTGTTCTACCTGTTGATTTTTTTTTTTTTTTTTTTTTTTTTCCTCCAAGAGATAAAAGTGCCTTCCATCTCCATGCAAGAACGTGATATATAGTTACAATGAAAGCGCAATTGTAGCCATAAAATAAAGCAATATAATACATAAAATCATACCTATACTGAACTCCTAAGATAGCGGAGCCTGGTTTCTACCCCAGCCGACTATGAACTACGATTACGGGCCAGGCATCTCGATGAGCCAGAGCCAAGCTTCAATCGGCAGCGCAGGAGGCTCGCAGGGTGGTATCTCGTCGTCGAGCAGTCACAAGAATTGCCGGCCGGCTCCCTATCCCCTCAGACACAAGTACATTCAAGAAGGTATACATTACGCGAATTGTTATGTTTTCCTTGAAAATAATAATAATAATTATTATTATACTATATCTCACTGGTGCTTGAAGAACAACATGTGGACTCGTACGGTCCGGTGCCTCTGCTGCACTCGAGCGCCTACGTGAGCGGCTGGTCCCGGAGTCCGGAGCAACATCAGCAATCCCAGGAGCAGCTCTCGGTGGTCCAGCAGGTCGGACCGATGACTACTACTACCACCACGACGGCATCTCTGAGCCAAGAGTGGCCATCTTCGGCCTCGCCCTCGCCAACCTCGGCCTACCCGAGCCTCAACCATCACCACAACCGACTCGTGTCGAATAGCAACAACAGCAACAACTGCCCGCCCGGTAGCATATCACCGGGTCCACCTCCCCTCTACTCTGGGAGCGGTAACTCCAACGTGGCTCCGGAGTGCGTTGAGCCTCAGCCCGCGACCTGGCTCCACCCGGCGGCGACTCTCTCCGAGCAGATACAGCAGCAGCAGCAGCAACAACAGTCCTACCTCAATCTCAACCTCCATCTGCACCATCAGATTTCCTACACGGTAAATCGGATCGATTTACGGTACCTACACGCGGAGTTACATATAAGAGAAAAAAACAACATCATCAAACCATGCAATTGCAATGACAAACTATATCGAATAAGTACTCGAGAGGAGTTGATTGTTTATTATACCTTTTATTTGTTGCAGAATGGAGCAGCCCTTCAGCAGGCGATCTACGCGCAGGAGCCGGTGATAGGCCAGCCCCAGGACTACCCCGACTACCATCCTCACCATCATCATCCCGGTAACCATTCGCACGACGTGCAGCAGGCTCACCTTCAGATACAACAGCTGTCCTCGTCCCACCACCACCACCACCACCACCACCAACATCATCACCACCAACAGCAGCATCAGCATCCTTCCGAGGTGGAGGCTGCGAGTTACGACACCAAGGAACAACAGCAGACCTTGCACCACCAGCATCCCCAACTGACTGCCACCAGCTACGACGGGGACGAGGAAAGAACGGGCACTGCTGGTGCTGCTGCTGCTGCTGCTGCTGGAACTGAGCACACGGTAATGTCAGATTAGCTCAATGGTGAATATTTTGGTTCTACGTACGGCAAGTATGGAGTTTTACGTGATGGCTCATGTGATTTGAAAGGTGCTGGTCGAGCGGCGATTCCTGAGTCCCGTCATCGAACATCATCGCCATCAGGTACAACAGCCACAATCCGAGGAGCACATCGAGGAGCAGCAGCCGCACAACTGGACACCGCTCACGCCACCACCAGCACCCTCGCAAACGACGGCACTCTGATACTACACAATAATCGCCGAATCACATAATTATTATAATTATACCGTATATTATTAATTGTTTACGATTATTCTTATTTTCAAGCTCAGCGCCACTAATTGCATTACATTTAGGTAAAACTGTGATTTTTTTCATCACTTTTTAGGATCGATTCGTGTTACTTTTGTTTATTGTTTAATCGCGTATAAATATATATATATACATGTGTGTGTGCGTGTGCAAAAGTACTTTGAGGAAAAGCTAGTCTTATCGCTTCACTTTTCGTCCTTCCAATGCTTTTACATAATAATATATATCACTCCCGGCAGTGTAATACAATTATATATATATATATATGCACTTCATTGGAATTGTGTTTTTGTACATTTTATTGGTAAACAGAAGAAAAAAAAATTTTGAAAGACGGTGTTAGCTTCAATGAGTTACACACGGTACGTTTTAAAATATGTGCAAATAAATTTAACATCCTTTTATCAAAAATACCGCCACTCTTGGGAATCAACAGAAAACATTACACGTTGAAGTAGTCCTTTACGACAAATATTCATATACATTACTGAGAATTTGACAATATAATGAATATGAAAAAAGAGCTAGTTTTGTGGATCGTCTCCCTCGAGTATGAAGGTTTTATAATTCGGAGGGAGCTTTTTTTATTGTAGTAGGAGGAGGCAGAGCGCTCGTCCCCGCGGTATTTTCTTTATTGCTGATCCAAGTAAAATCAAAGACTTGGATCGAACTACGTAACTATATATTAGAAAATCTGAGGGAAAAAAACTCTGGCACTACCTTTTAAACTTACATCTGCGACCGTTAAAGCGCCCCCGTGTTTGCATCGAAATCTATACGTAATTATCCGTAAAATTCACACTAGACATTACTTGCTTACAATCTATATATTATAAACCAACACTTTTTTTAACCAAACGTTCAATACGAAACTGATAGATGTAACCATATTGCAATAGACAGAAAAATGTAGGCTGTTATTGAACAAAAAAAATTTTACCAAAAACTGATACACGGAGTTTACAGTAATGTATGTATATAATACATCAATGTACCGTACATCATTTGATGCGATACTAATTTATTTTATACATACATTGATATGTAAGCTCGATCAGTAATCATATATTGTATTTTTGCGAATGACATAACAAATACAGGCCTTTAACGATATTCCGTCCTTTTGTATATCTAATACATCTAAAATTTTATTTTTGATCAAGTATATGTATAGGTAATACTGTAAATATATTATTAGAACTATAATAAATCTTGTTGAAAAGTACAATTCAAAATTTATATCACGCTAAAATTTCTAATGATACCACGGAATGTTACCAGCTTTCCAAGCCCGGCCTCCAGTGACTTTATAACTGTAAAACACTTCTCTTATTTGTTTGTAGCCTATACACGTATGTAAATGCTTTTTATTAAACTGTACAATTTTATTTGATATAAAAGTATAAATTTGTATCATTGGTACCTATTTTCAATGATACAAATTTGAAGTAAATAACTATTGCTCGCCAGCTATTTTACACAAGTACAGTATAAGTATATATTTAGTTTATTCGGCATTTAATTGGGTTTGGGTTGTTCGGTTTACAATCCGCGCCATCTAGCGAGGCTGATTCCGAACTACCATTTTCGTTTTCTGAAAATTCCCTAGTCTAGTGCCACTAGACCGACACTAGACTAGGAAGTTTTCAGAAAACGAAAAGGGAATACTACTTTAGTTTGAAATCAGCCTCGCTTCAAACGTTGTTTACATAACAATAAAGTTTATTTTTTGCTCAAAAAATGCATTGACAACACTTGAATCTCATCAAATCGATAGTCTTATATACATGTGTGAATAAACCTCTTAGTGTTATCCAAGTTTCACCGTTTAAACAATATAAAAATAATAGGTAAAGTATGTCGACGGAAAACAATAGCACGGATGGGCCCAATAAGGAGGAAGTGGATAGTGGTATTCAGGAACGTATTACAAAAAACAAAGAAAGAGCATTGCTGCTAAGAAAAGCTAAAGTTGTCACTCATCCCTATGCAAAGCAACAGTAAGCTAAAATTGTTGTTTCATTTCAGTTAGTTGGCTCAGTAACATTGAATGCAACTACCATACCTTAATCCATACATTTATTGGGTTATTTTTAGGGATAAAGAGGGTGGCGTCCAAGGTAAAGCTATCAAGGTCTCTGGACAAAAAGTTATAGACAGCGGAGCTGGATTTCTCATCGAGGAAGATGGAGAACTTGAAAATGCTATGGTAAAAAACTACCGTTGTAGATTTGTACTCAAGTTTTTCTGTTGAAAAGTAATTTTACTGTCTGACTTGCAGTGTAATTTAGTCGCAGAACCTGCGCCAATCATCAGCAAACTACCGGAATGTTTGGAGTGTAAAAAAGAATTCAAAGATTCATTCCTCTTCCAGAAATTTGATTATCTTGCATGTGATGAGTGCAGGTTGGATATTTTAAAACTTTCTGCTTTTAGAACAACCAATTTATTTACTAAGTATATTTTTCAACATGATCTAGAGATAACGAGGGCAAACACTCATTGATAACTAGAACAGAAGCCAAACAAGAGTACCTTTTGAAGGACTGTGACCTTGACAAGAGAGAGCCACCTTTAAAGTTCATTTTACGCAAGAATCCCCATAACATAAGGTGGGGCGAGATGAAACTTTACTTACAAATTCAAATTGAAGAAAGAGCCCTGCATGTCTGGGGCAGCGAGGAAGCGCTTTTGGAAGAGCGCGAAAAGCGAGATGTCAAACGTGAAGAAACAAAAATTAAAAAGTTCAACAAAAAAGTAAAACAGCTGAGGATGGAGGTCAGAAGTTCATTATACGATAAAACTAAAAAAGCGTCACATACACATAAATTTGGTCAGGATGTCTATAACGAAGATGATGATAATTATACGCATACTTGCCAAACGTGTGGATTTGAAGAGACTTATGAAAAAATGTAAAGGGAAATAATTTTTTGTAATTTTTTTTCAGTATCTCAGTTTTTTTTTATTATTGTCTTTAACTTATGCCAAATACCATAAGCATGTTAAAAGAATCTCATTATATTTTTACTTTTATACTTTAATTACATGGTTGATTTGTTTTTTACATTGGATTCCTGAATTTGTTATACACAATCAATAATTTATTAATCCTAAAAAAAAATATTTGCAAGTGATTTTTTTCATTAAGACCGAAACAATAAATTTTATTGCTTCGCGTTAGACACTCAACACGTATTTTACAGAACTTCCTTAATATTATTGACAATAGTATACAATAGATAAGTTGAAGCGCTTCAAACGATCCGTTCCTCGCGAAAATGATTTCGTTATAAAATTGTTACCATGAAAGATGTACTCACATGATCAGCTGAACAATTTTTTTAAGCCAAAATAGTGGCAAGTCTGAGAAAGTCACGATACTCGCGGTAAAAAGATCCCTTATTTTTATGGGTCACTTTATATTGTCATAGTTATTACTTAGAATAGTTTGAAACTTCAGTTACCTCTTTGAATCTATTAGAATATATTTTTTCGACTTGCACAGTTTGTATGAAATCGTAATGCATACAAACCGGCGAATACTAATCACTGAGCAATCCAAAAACCGTAAAAAGTAAAACAATTCGTCGAAAAAGTCGGGAATTGAGATACAACGTTGAAATTTTGTAAAAATACGCGTTAGATAACCGAAATATAAAAAAAAGAAGATATTACAATGCATGCAACACTCCTAAGAAAGAGCTACAACGTCTTGGTAAGCATTATACCTGGTTCGTGTATGAGCAACGCTCAATTGAACGTCAGATAGATTGAATCCTTGTAATTATAAGGATCAACCCAACCGACGCATCAAATAAAAGTAAGATCCGCGTGTAAAAACTTGCTCAAGGTGTTAAAACGAAAACAAAAACTTATATTACAAATAAAACTATGAAAACTTATCATCAACTAAATGACCAACAATAACACAATAAGTATGTTTTCAGTTATAGTACGTACAAGATAGTTCAATAAGTAATTTGTGTATTTTAAAGACTGCTATAGTCGCTGTACAATAACTTTCTTATTATCTAATACTTCGTCAACGGCGTTAACAAAAAATTTCTGTAGACGCACGGCAAACATCAAACTTTGGCAATTCACATTTGCTCTCGCATTAGTTTTTCAACGATTGGTATTAGCGCCATTCATTTGTATACGCACATTTTAACCTGTATAATAATAATAATAATGCGACTTGGACGCATTGACTTCAAAAGTAAAGAATAAAACATGTTGTACAAAATGTGGAAGACTGCTGCTCAAAAGCCAAGTACAAAGTCCATCATTGTTATTATTTTTCTCCTCGTCAAGTCCGTACCTTGAAAGTCTTGATTGATCAATTTTTCACAGTGACTGATTAAGGTCACTAATGACAATCACAAAAGAAACACAAGAAGTAGCTTAACTAACGCTACGAGCCGCTCGCGCAATTTGTACTGGCTTGAGGGATAGGAGGCAACACGCTTGGCACCGTCAAACTGAGGCCCTGCATCCTCCTTATTGGCATAGCTGACGAATTTATTTGACTGCTCACCATAGTAGATGATCTGTAACAATCATAATTTGGTTTTTTTTTATATGTTTTATCAATTACTTCAACTAATTTGATTTGAATCAAAGTTTCTTTTCCTAAATGTAGTTGGCGCCGCTATCAGCGCGCTTTTTTGGAGAGCTTGTCATCTGCAGGTTGCATTGTTATTATTTTTTTTTTTTTTTCGTCCGAACCAATCAAGACATTAAGTAAAGCATGTACATTTGATGGTTGCATGGGTATTGTTAACTATCATATATTATGTATTTTTATAAGTATTCATAGATTTCTTTAAGATTCGGTCGAAAAAATGCTATAGAGGTTATTTTTGAGGTTATTTGCAAAAACAACATCGTTGAGTCAATAAAAGTGATAATGAAAAAAAAAAGTAAGGAATACTCGTCCAGTTCTGAAGATGAAGCTTGCATAGAAGCTTTAAAAGAAGCTACTGATCAAGATTTTTTCAAGAATTCGTTTTTCAGCAGTGAAAAATCTTTGGAAGACGATTCAAAGTCACAGGTAAGCAAGACTGATGGTGAAACTCAGAAAAAAGAGAAAATCAAAGTAGAGAGCTTAGAAGAATTTGAAAATCATGGACTATCGCAATCTTGCAGAGATTTCATTGCCAAAAAGTTTCGTGAAGAGCTAGAAAAGTACGTGGGAAAAAATTTATGAACTAATGAGGTATAATATGACTAACAACTACAATCTCAACTTTTTCAGAGATACAGTTTTTGTTGATAGAGGACCAGAGCTTAAAAATCCGAATAATTCAAATTCAAATGAGGAGACTGGAATCAAACTTTTTTCTTCATCTAACACAGTTCTAACAGGAATCGTGGATACAGTTGAGCCCAAAATCTTGAAAAAAAGAAAAAAAACCAGCATTCCATTCAATGAAAAAGACAATTTAAAAAAGTGCGTAGAAGTCGCGGTAAATCCGGAAGATATTATATCGCAGAAAGAAACGAAATTTTGGACTGACAGAAAAATACGCGAGCCCTTTAAATACAAGAAACAAAAAAATGGATTGCTAACAGAAATCAAGTGACGCCTATAAAAATAAATTTGTAACATATGTATATTTTTCACACAAATCGAGCAATAAAAATAAAGAAAAAGAAAAAAACAAATCACCTGTTGTGCCTTAGATGACTCTTGACTAATTGTCCGGCCGTGAGAGCGGCCATAAGTGAAAGTTCTCCAGCAAGTACGGTCGCGCAGACTATCCTCGCGAGTTTGTTAGCGTTCTGGCCAGGCTCGAGCACGTTTGCTCCTTTGACGCCGAGCATGGCCAGACAAGCTCCCTGAGCCGGTAATCCGGTACCACCGCCTATCGTGCCGATCTCGATACTGGGCATCGTACACGACACGTACAGGTCATTGCCGTCGATACCCCACGGCTCCATCAGCGTCATGCAATTACTGCTGCCAACGTTCTGTGCTGGATCCTGAAATCGCGTGATGAAACAAGTTTGTTAACGCATGAAAAATGTATTGGAAAGACAAACGCAAATATACAAGCAGAATCCGCGTACGCACCTGTCCGGTGGCAATGTATATAGCTGTGACGATGTTGGCCGCGTGGGCGTTGAAGCCACCTATGCTGCCCGCCACAGCGGAGCCGATCATGTTTTTGCTGATGTTGACGTCAACAAGGGCCTGGGTGGAAGTTTTGAGCACCGTGGAGACTATCTCGGCGGGCACGATGGCCTCACAGACGACGCTCTTGCCCCGGCCCTCGATCCAATTGACCGCCGCTGGCTTTTTATCCGTGCAAAAGTTACCGCTTAGCGAGAGTATCTCCATATCCGTAAAGACCTCTTGCACCGTGTGCAATGACTTCTCCGTGCCCTTAGACAACATGTTCATGCCCATGGCGTCGCCCGTCTTGGCCACGAAGCGGATGAACAAGTGACGGCCAGCGATTCGCACGTGGATCTTGGTGAGCCGAGCGAATCGGCTGGTCGCGTCGAAGCTGCTCTTCATTTTGTCGAAGTTGTCCGGCTGCTGCATCCAATCCATGGCTTCGCTTGCCCGGACGATATTGGGGAAGCGCACCACCGGTCCTCTGGTCATGCCTGCGTTCGATTAAAAAACAAACCGAGTAAGACTCGCGTCGAAGCGCGCAGAAAGAGGAAAGAAAAAAAAAAAAAAAACAACTAACCGTCAGCCACTACGCGACTGGTAACACCGCAGCTCATGAGCGCTCGGCTGCCACGATTCGTCGAGGCAACGAGGCAACCCTCCGTCGTGGCCATGGGCACGTAGACGAGGTTGCCATCGAGGAGAAGCGGCCCAGCGATGCCCAAAGGCACCGGCACGTAACCCACGACGTTCTCGCAACAGGAGCCCAACACTCGGCTGTAGTCGTAATTACGGTACGGCAGATCTATTAGCTCCTCCGTGAAGTTGCCCGCGATGCCTACGATGCTCCGACGAATACCTACGCCCCGCTCCATATCCCCAACTGCCTTTTCCAGCTGGTACGGCTGAATGTATTTGTGATTCACCAGCTGAATCACCTCGGAGTCGGTGAGAACGTTGGCACCCAGCTGCCAAGGTACATTGGTTTGTTTAATCTTTTTTTTTTTTTTTTTTTTTTTTCCTTCATCGCAATTCCCGAAGCGCGTTCTAATGTGTTTTTGGGTTAAAAGAGAAATCAAGAGTCGGCGCGCGCGACACTCGCATATCTGATGCACGCAAGTGCATACACATACTTAAGGAAGAAAGCTGCAGGCGACTGACCTCGGAACGGTAAATGGCGAGGCACTCCTCGAGGCTGCGCAGGCTGTCGGATCTCGAGCAGAGGGTCTCGCTGCTGGACGAGTGGGGCGAGCCGGTCAGCAGAACGTCTTCGGTCTGGACCTCCTTGTCGAGCATCTCAACGACGGAGTCGTGGCCGACCTCGATCCAATCCTCGCCCATCGACGAGGTCAGGGGAAAGACCGCCGCCGCCGGCTGGCCGCCGATGCTCATTGTCGCGGCAAAGCGCTGGCTGAGTTTGCTGTCCATGTCGCTGATCCCGCTGTCGCTGTTCTTGCTGCTGACCCCACCCCCGATATGCTCCTCTTCGTCCTCCTCGTAGTCGTCGTCGTCGGTGTTGGCAACCCGCCCGGGCAGCTTGGCCTTGCGCTCGGCCTCCTCGGCCTCCAGCCGGAGCGAACGCTCCTCGAAAAAGATGAACTTGACCGTCAGGGCGAGCAGGAGGATCAGGATGACGATGTTCTCCGCGCTCACCGACAGCCAATTGGTCAGGTAGCCCCTCAGGTCACTCGGGGCCTCGGTTTTGTTGCGATTCGTGAGGACTATGCTCGGGCCCACCGTCGACACCGTCTGGCCTATCGCTTCCTCGGCTTCCTCATTGCGGAAGGGCCAGCGACTGTAATCAATCGATCGTCGACTCTTTAGGCTTTTCTTTACCTTCCGTCCAAACAAAGCGACGATTATTTCACAAGTCTCGCGAAAATGTCGAAACGCGTACCACCACGAATGAAAAATCAAAGAGCCGAGGAGCACGGCACCGCGAGCAGTTTGGTTCTGGAGCCGGCCGCGGCAACCCGAGTCATACGCGCCCAACGATTTCGACTCGCGCGTCATTGTTCACATTCATAAATAAACCGTCGGCGAAGAAACGACAGAGATGATGATCGGCCGATACATATTAGACGAGTTTCCACGAAGCCGTCCTCCCTTATTCTTTCGGTGTACGCTTCCTTGGAAGAAGAAAAAAAAAAAAAAAAAAATCGTCAAAGACATACAAGTGTTAAAAAAATATTGTTTCAAACAATAAAAAAAACCTAAAAATGTAGAAAATTTAAAAAAGAAAAGGAAAAAAAGAAGAAGACGTCATAGCCGTGGGTGTATATTTATAGATTCAGACTTTTCTGGTGACGAAAAGCCGTGGCGAGAGCCTACAGGACGCACAATGAACCGGTTGTCATTGACGAGCGCAACGGAGTATATACCATTGTCCCGGGTCAGATGGTGCCGATAGCGCTGTACACATTGTAAAGGTACGTACATCAAGGAGCGTCGTGCGTACAGGAATCGCTAGTGTTGTTGTTATGATACTTCTTGTTTGATTTCGTCACGACGATCGGAGGAGGACCAATGATACTTACCGATATCCAGTGACCTACTTTTTCGCGTTTCACGAGCGCGTCGTAATCAAATTAGAACGATGCGACAACAAACTCAGAAATACGAACAGAGATGCGATTAGTATATACGGTGCGCTATGGGTTACTTTATTACAATAGGTTCGATCACCTGCGTTCTATTTGTGCAATTAGGCATTACAGCTATGTACGTACAGATCTCTGGACTAATGTCACTTTGGATACGTTCAAATTATGTACCTAGTTGCATCGTTCATTAAGTATATGGAAAATTTTGGGAACAAATTTGATAAGTATAGGTACACTTTGAAAAGCGGACTTGCACGATGAAATCGGCAAAAATTAGTGTTTGGAATTTTTTGCCAAGATAATTTTACGAGTGGAAAATAAATATTTACCATTGCAATGTAGTGTCTGAAAATTCAGAAAACAAAAGAGGCGATGACATTTTAAAAGACTAAGGCCACTCGGGATTCGTACGCCACGGCAGGATGGAAAAAAAAGGAGACGTGCGCCAAAGCACGTATAAGTACTCGGTGGTAGTGATACACGTAACGCGCACACCTATAATGGACAAAGTCCGGCGTTGGCCAATCCCATAATTGGCAAGAGAGCAGAGAGAGAGAGAGTAAGCCGCACGCGCAAATCTATGTAGGCACACGTACAACCTATACAGGGGAAACTCACCTGTGCGCGTGCACGACAAAAAGACTGGCTATCATGATGAGCTTGAGCCGTTCGACGACGGGATTTGGCTTCTGATCTTCCTCGCCGCAGCTATTACCGGTGTGGCCCGTCATCAAGATCTCACTGTCACTGCTGCGCGAGAGCTGTAAACAAGCACATAGGCATGTAGATACATACGTATCACATATTGTTGGATAAGCGCATGTTCAACATAAGCGTGAATTATGATCGTTATTTCTTCCCGGTACGACGCGAACGTAACAGCCCACGCACGCACACACATGTATATAGGTGTATACACAAGACAGCTGCCGTTGGCTACAGTGTCAAGTTCGGTGAAGCTTTCACCCGGCGCTTCGCAAACTCCTTTCTTTCTCCTCGTCCGTTACGTCATGCAGGTGTTGCAGCAACAACAACAACCACCACCACCAGCTGCCTAGTATATACATATATGTACAAGCGCACCTTATACCACGGAGTTCCCAAACCGATGATATGGAGTTGAGTAATCGCGCTCGATTGGCGTCGTACCTATACATGCAGAGAGGAATGCGAGCGCGACTTACCCCAAGGAAGAACGAGAGACAGGCCGGATAGAAGGTCATGAAGACGATGTAGTTGACGAGAACGCCGAGACAGGCGTAGCCGCAGAGTATCTCGAGCCTGCGAACGCCCGAGAGGGAGCCGATGCCGATCAGTAGGATCTCGACGAGGGTGTCGAGGGTCATCGAGGGCCCGAGGATCGACATGCCCCGGGCTATGTTGGCCCTCACTTCGTCCTGGCTTTTCGAGCTCAGCGCCAGTTGGGCCAAGGTCCGCGCCTTGTTCAAGTCTATCACCAGAAGGAAGAAGAACAGGGCATCCCTAGGTGTCATTGCACGTCAATGGGAAAAACAAAACAAAAATCATTATTATCATCATTGTTGTTTTTTTATTATTTTTGAGTTGCTTGACAGAGCGTGTCCACTTACTTTAGATCGGAGATGTCGTTGCGTCCAAAGTTCAACACGTTCAGGGTGAATATGATGCTGGAAACTATGGTGCATATCCCGGCGATCCCTACAACAGAGGGTGGAAAAATTTATTTGTACCAGACGCAAGTGTTGATATTATTGTTGGCATAGGTGTACGAAAACTTTGACCCATAGATACATCGACATGACGAATGGGAGTGGCGATGTACGCAGCGTGTACGATGATAACGACAAAGTATTAATTTTCGCAAATGACGTCTTATCAGCCAAATAATTATCATCATCATCTGACATTATGTGGCCGCATAACATAACGATTGTAATACATTATGGTGCTGGAAAGATAAACGTATGTTTGCCGAGATATTAATACACTCTGAGATCGAAACGGAGGGTAACATGAACACGTCAATATTTTTCAATACGAAGGGTCATTAACGTCGCTGAAAAAAACAAACGAGAGTCATAAATTTCACCGTCGCGCGCTTCTATCGGCCGACAAAGTAAAAGCGGCGCTAACAACTCGATTGTATATTTTTCGAAAATGATGAAACCCCGTTTTCTTCAGCATCGTTGTTTTTTATCCGCACCGCGTTTATCATTGTCGCTCGAAAATAATCGCAATTCAATACTTTGATTTAGAAAACGGCAAAAATGTAGATCTCCGGAAGAGAAAACGCTAACCGATTGAAAGCGAAACGTGCGGGCAATTGAAAATTTTACAAGGAGAGAGAAAGGCGGGGTTTGTCGTGTACGCGGGACCCGAAACTCTGACAAGGGTCTACGGGTGTTGCTGACTATATGATATTATATATTTATTATGACTAACCATATCATTATAATTAAGACTTTGGATATTCCGTCGATCAAATGAGTTTCTCGGTTTCACGGTTCATCGAACCGTTAACGAAATCCTCCCGCATCGGCATCGCTTTCTCGCGCCTAAAAACAATTAGACCTTTTTTTTTCGATCTCCTCGGGGCTTAGTGTATATACAAAACGAACCAATCCCGAAACTCCCGATCCTGCACCCCCTCCCAACTCCCCTACTCGATCTGTGAATATACGCGTATGGAATCATGAGATTATGCGTTTAAGATTTGTCACCTCCGTAAAATTGCCCGAAAGCACCAAATGCTCTGGATGCAATTCCAACGCATTGGGGTACATTTATACACATGTATACACACGATTGCCGATCGTGATTGTCATTATACGATTACGTGAGCGGAGAGAAAAAAAAAAAAAAAAAAAAAAAAAAAAAAAAAAAAAAAAAAAAAAAAGGAGGGGGGCAATATAATATAATAATATGTATGCGTATACGCGCAAAAAGTAACAAGCGAATCAGTCAGTCAGCCGGGGCACGATGTGTATATAGACTATAGGTATATATACGCGCGTGTAGGGGAGCACACAGAAAGCCGGTTTCAAAGAGAGCGCGGCGTAGCGGGTATATAATTTGGTAATCGGCCAACAAGACACGGGCGCGCGCGCGCGCTCTCGCGCACCGAGAACGGCCTCGGACCAAATGCCATATCGCTTTCTATGAGAGCGGAACTTTCACTGGACACACTCTCCTCCGGGAGTAGGTACCTCATACCTGCGCGTACAATACGTCCGTGTACATGTGGAAATGGCAAGTGTAGCGATCGCTCGCGCGGGGCTTTCTTCTTTTCCGAGGCGCGCGCGCGCGCGAACGCGTCTGTAGGTATATATACGTTATATTAACGGAGAGTGAGCGTAAATATAATAACGAGCGCGCATATGTATATCGCGGGTAATTGCGTGTGGGTAATTTTGCTTGCCGTTCCCCCCGCGAGTAAATAATTCGCAGAGCGCGGGGCCTTTTTGTCATTCAAGGTGAGACTCCACGCGCTCTCCGGCTTCTCTCGTGCGTGCGCGGGTGTACCTCTGTATGGGTACGGGCCCATATTATATTTTTCACACCTCAGCACTCACCGGTGGGTGGGGGGAAGAAGCGTAATTACATATTTTGCCTCATCCAATTTCACGTATGCATATGTCATAAAATATATAATTGAGCGCTTCTCCTCCCCCCCCCACACCCTCATCTGTCATCGCCACACCTGTAACGATAATGTCATAAGTATACCCTCGTACTCTCGGATATGACGGTTATTGCCAAATTATCTTTTAAACGTCCGTTTTGCGTGTACCTACTGCACCATCCTTTTTTTTTTTTATTTATTTTTTTTTTTTCGTTTGACGCGTCTCTTTTTGTTTACAAAAGAACCCATTGTTTTACGACGGTGCGAATAAGCTTGAAAAAAAAAAAAGTACACGGATAACCGCTTTTTTAGATTTTTATACAAATGATGTATATAATACAATATATTGTGTGCGAAACACGAAAATTCTAATGTGCAATAGTATAGAATATAATTGTATAGGTTGGTACACAGCTCGAGGAAGGCCGAGTAGTCATCGTCGCCGTTAAAAAGACAGTGAAATTTTCAAGGCTTTCTAAGTATTAGCCATTCATGACACCTTTTATTTCATATTTGCCGAGAGAGAGAGAGAAAATATTATACGTACACGTAAGTACGATGTGCAATGCTTGCTTGGGCACGAGTCGTGTGTGTTTAAACGCTACTTGCAAGCACCATAAGAGAAACCGTAAATCCGTAAGAGCGCCATCAGGTATTTGAAAATTAGCGAGACAGCGCGCGGAGAAACGCCCGTAAAATGCAGCCCGTGAAGTTTTGTCGTTACGATGGGAGGTTTACTCACTCAAAATGTACTTGGAGCCCAGGTTTTGAAGGCTCCGGAACTGATGGTAGCTGAAGAGTATCGCTAGGCAACGAATCACCGTCATCAGAATCACGTCCGCGGCGTTCAGCTCCTGCTGCAATAAGAAACCAATACATATAAATAAGTCAAAATGTGTATAAACGATAAAGCAAATATAATTAAAAAGAAAAAAAAAAAGAAAGGCACTCACATCGTTGGAACATCGTCCCTGCCAGCAGTGGCCGGCGCTGTCCGAAATCGGCAGACTTCCGTCTTTGAGTAGACCGGCGCTCGGTGTCTCCATGTGGTACATGCACGCGGTAAGTATGAAGGTGGTGACGATTACGTGCATCGAGTGACCGGCGCAAAACCGGCCGTGCAACTCAAACAGGCCTTCCAGCATCTTTTTTTTTTTTTTTTTTTTTTCCTCGCGAATAGTCCTTATTATCTCCTCTTCTCACGGGCCGACGCAGAGTGTGTTGCGTTCAGCTGCTGATGCCGACTGCTTTCTCTCGCTCTTTTCCCCTCTTCTTCGGCCGCCCGACTGACAAATAGACTTACGAAATCTCTGCAACACACGGGCAGACGTACCCTACTTAGACCCCTTTTTTGTCGTTGTTGTTGTTGTTTTTACTTTATCTTCCATATACATTTGTAAGATTAAGTAAAAAAACTTTTCACGTATATGGGGAAAAATCTTCCCGAAATGGGTGCGATGTGCAGTTGGGGGGTAAGCGCGTCGTGTTTTGCTCTTCTGATCCGCGAACAAAGCTGTTGCCGCGCGCGATCAAAGAGCAGGGCGTTTTCGACAAATCTTTCCGTTTAATTTAGTTTGGGCAAAGGCGCGAAAAGCCTTTGATCGAGGCGATTTATTTTCCCGCTTGACGAACGACGGTACCCGCTCTGTTTGCCGATCTCTCGCGCGCGAAAATGAAAAATCGCTCGGACCAATAAACACCGACCAACGACTGCCTCTGCGTCTGAGAATCTGTAAACAAACGATCTCCCGATCGTGGGCGGTTTTGGCCAGCGCTTTTCTCGCGACCGCGTATACTTCCGGTTCGTTTGGGGTGGAAAGTAACAAAAGGATTTGCGCAATTTTCTTTTTTTTTTTTTTCGTTACATAAAAAAAAAAAAATGCAGCACAGACAACGCATACGCCCGGAGATTGATATTTTATTGCACATTACAGTATGTATACCCGCGCGTAATGTGAACAGTAATAAGATCATTAATGGTTGGACGATTTTTCAAAGAGAAACCTCACCGTGTTATTTAAGGCCGGGTGTCTCGGTTACGAAATTCTTAAGACTACTTGGGAAAAAAAAACAACGCCAACACGGAGAGAGCGCCTGCATGCGCTGGACTCGCGAGGAAAAAGAAAAGGAAAAAAAGACTGCACTCCCCGATCCTCCCATATACATATACATCAAAGTTTCGACACTTTTTTCCCCTCTTACGCGTAAAAACTGTTTTATAACCGATTACGAGACGGATACTTTTTTTCTCACTCACTCTCCCGCTCTTTCTCGATGTGCGCGGTAATTTGTTTGACTTTGAATGAGCGAATATTATCCGTTTGCATGGGGCGCGACTTTATGAATGAGCCGAGAAACGGGGATAGATAGAAAGCGTGCGAGTGATGCATTGTTCTTCGGTGATTTGTGTGACAAATTGAGCTGTGCATTAAAAGTAAAACAAATATTAATAAAAAAACGCGTGTTCGCTCGTATGGAAAAAAAAAACTCGCACATTTGTTACGCGATTATTGCGACATTTTTAATGCCATAATCAAACTAATTATTATACCGTTTGCGCAAACGGTTTAACTAAAAGCAGAGAGATAACAGTAATGACGAAGGTTGAAAAAAATTAAAAAAACAACTCGCAACCGTAAACAAAAAAATTAAATGTTTTTTCATTTCATCTCAAAACACTTGCGATGTTAAATTTGATGTTGGATAGTTGTTTTTTTTTTGTTTTTCTATTTTTTTTTGCATTGCATTGCATGGTAAATAAAATATCTCAAACCATTTGGCCGGGAGACTCGTTGTTTTATTGATCGAAAGTTAAATACGATAGAAAGTAATATGGTAAGCACCCGTGGAGAAGAAAAAAGCTTTCCCTTTTTGCGAATCGCAGCGGTAAAATAAACAACTTGCCACCGACATTAGGGTCGCGGAAGAGAATTACAATGATTGATATTAGGAGAGGAGGGAAAAAGCAATTAAAATACTCTCACTTTTTGGAAAAAAAAAAAAAAAAAAAAGAAAGAAAGAAAGGAAGAAAAAAATCGTTGGTACCTGTTACGTAAACGTAGGGCCAAAAATATCCGCCATCCGAATCGCAAGCATGAGGTTAAACAAGTGGCCGGTCAGAGGGGCGGGTTAGCGCTCTCATTTCCCCTTGCGTCAGTTGAATCGACTTTTTCGCAGTTGTGTACAGGTAACGGCGAAGCATACAACAGTTAACCAACAGATGAGGCGAAGCTACCGATTGTGATGCACAAAATGTAAAAAAAAATAATAATAACCGAATATTCAAAGTATCGTTTACAAGCAGCATCGGTAGCTAGCAACTTTTTTTTATAAAAATAGGAAGAAACGGAAAGAAGGGGGGGGGGGGAAAGAAGCTCGGCCCAACAAAGGGGTTGATCTCGCCGCGAGCCTGCCCGAGACAGAAGAGGGAGGGCGAGGCTAGTAAAAAGCGAGCCAAGGGAGGGCCGAGCGTTCGATTGAAGCGTCGCGTCGAGACTGATCGGAATCAGACTTTGGAGCGCCGCGACTGGACTTTCTTACCGTGTGTACCTATACACGAGAGCTGCTTGGGTGGACTCTCTCTCTCTCTCTCTCTCTCTCTCATCTCTGGCATGTGCCGCTATGCGCCTCACAACTCATATTTATACATATACAGATATTTAAACGTATGTCTATACATATTTATATATATATATGTGTGTATATATATGCACACCACTCGCGATATATTTGGAACAAGTACTTTATAGTTACATGCTTCGCGTAACGCGCGAAACGATGTAGGCTTCGTCGTGTGCTTCTCATATAGCTTATATAGGAGCACCCAAAGACGCGATTGTAACTTCATCGTCAGTGGATCTGCGCTTATCGCCTCCCTACTCCCTTCCCCTCCACCCACCCGCCCTCCTTATTTTCATAATGTTCACGTGATACACATATTTTCTTTTGTTACCCACTCACGAGGATAAAAAATAAAAAAAAATAATAATAATAACAATAATAATAATAAGAAAGTACGTGCATGTGAACTCGATGATTTTCCATGTATCCTTATGGCCTGCCCGAGGTGGTGTGTGCCATCTCTTCATCCCGTAAGCAAAACTTGTACTTATCGAAGGATCGAGGTTGTAACGAGCAGTCGTCGTATCTTAATTCTGAAAAGGGCGAAAGTCACGTTTACTTGAGAACCGTGAAAAATTTTAATCACGTGTCTTTCCAACCCTCAAGACTGTACAGAAATTTTTTTCAAACAGTGTACCAAAACGTTATGCTGCCTCGAGCGGTCCATCGTATCAGGTGAAACTCTGGTTTTTTCAGCGCTCAATTACTCTGAAATCATGCAAGTGCCATGCATGAACAAATGAGAATGACGCATTGCTATGGGCTTCCCGAAATGATACAGAGATACTCTAAATATTTTTCGAGGCAGCTATATTCCCTTTGAGCTTTGTGAAATGGCACCTCACCGCGAAAGAAGAACCAACGATCCGACAACTGCACCAATCAACCCTTTTTTTTTCAACCAACATGCTTTTGCGCTTAGATGCAATTCACTACGTACTTTTTTGTACTTCAAGGGTAATTTTTATCTAAAGCATTTTCGCATTTGCACGCAGTGACCCCGACGTTGCCGCAGTTCTGTTTCTCTGCGTGGATTTCTTTTTTGTTTTTCTTTTTTTTTTTTTCCTTGTACTACAGGCACAACAGTGCGAGAGTAATTAAGCTAGAGGACAAATTAAAAAAATTATAAATAAAGTCTGGAAAAAAAAAGAAAAAGAAAAATAAGAAAACCAGAAGAAGATTTATTTGTTGATTTTATAAATCAGTAAAACCAGTAATTGTGCATATTTATGAGTGTACGCTATCGAAAAAATTTATCGAGCGCAATTGTTATGTATGAAACTTCAGGCCTCGAGCTTAACGTATTGTGTTTATTAAAGCTGTACTTATAATTTTCCTCAATTGAATCCTTTTCTCGACATGTATTCGTAAAATATCAAGCAGTTAATCATGACAGATTAAACAACGAGAGAAAAACAATTGTCAACACTCGTCGGTATACTAACTAAACGATATTATTAGTCAGCGGAGGAACAGATAAATAAAGGATACTCGTCGTTCCGACAAAATATAATATACGTATATAAATCAGTATAATAAGTAAAAGTAATGATAAAAGGAAAAAAAAAAGAAAAATCATTTTCTCGTAACTCTGCAGGATACAATTATCAATGGCCTTGCTCTGAAGTACTTATGTAAAATGATTGGCATTCAATCAACGGTTCTCCCTTACGGTGGTTGTTGTTGCTGCACCAGCATATATCATCATAGAGAGAACCAAAGAGTATCGTGTGTAGGTATAAAAAAGTAAATGAATAATCATTGCAAGAGACGTGGAGAAGAAAAAAAAAAACAAAAAAAAAAAAAAAAAAACGAAAGATAGAGAGAGATAAGTAAAAGAGGAGCATTCGAGCAACTTCAGTGGCGCAACTGCCGCATACTTCAACCGATACACACATGTAGGCGCGTTACCACCAACAGGTCTTCGGGAAGGAGCTTAGTTATGTATATATATATACGATAACCATAATGATAATAATGGCCAGAGAGAGAGAGAGAGAGAGAGAAGGCATATTGCACAATAATTATGCTATAGCTACATAGGTACACGCCTAAATGTACATTGGCGCGTGTGACCCTCCCACTCTCTTTTTTTCCACATGTCCATCAGGTGGTGCTCCTTTTTTATCGCTCTCCTCCCGATAGGGAATAGCCAAAGTGTATGTCGACATCTTCAGCCATATATATACGTATCCCTGGTGCGTCAATCGTCCCGTATAAAACATAATAGGTGTAAGCTTACATTGTTAGTATGATGGAGTCTCTCGGAGTACATAAATATCTATAGTTATGGATGCACCATCAGAGTACCATTGACTGATCGAGTGTCGCACGTAGAGCGTTACAGTGGAGGGGGGAGGGGAAAAAAAACGTGCATTAATCAAAATTAACATCAGGCACGCGTATATAGGTATATACCATGAGATACGGTATCGCGCATCACTTTGAGGCGATGTACATAAGGTACCTACGCGAGTAGCGAACGGACGCGTATGCATAAATAAGTGCATTCTTTGGTCTCTCTAATGCACAGGTATACAATATACACGTGTGTGGATTAGTATACATGCACCTGTTCGTATTATTAATACTAAAAAGAAAAGAAAAAAAAATAAAAATAAATATGCAGGCACGCGCGCGCCTTTGCTCTTTTACTTTTCGTAATAAGTATATAGTACAACGACGCGGTGCAGGCGTCCGCCTAAGTCTCGGTGCCTGTGGGTATTAGTATGTATGGAAAAAAGTCGCTTTCCTTGCCACATTTACAGCCCACCTTCTGTAAAGTACTTAGTGTTGTTGCGCACACATCCCATTAACTAGTACATACATCTATATAAATGTATCCTAATGCTGCGATTGCGGGGCGCGTTTTGCTCCTCGTTATTGCAATACTTGATTGTTTTTAGTCTTTTATACTATGCAACACACTCTTTTATTGGAAATAATTGTGGCAAAGTATTTTTTGCGCTCTACGAAGAACGCGTGTACGTGGTCAAATAAAAGTTTTTTTTTTTTTTTTTTTTTTTTTCCTTATATTTGGTTGGATGGTACTTACTTGTGTAGCGAACGCTATTTTTTCTATCTAGAGTGCAGTAAACGTCCAAATTAAAAAAAAGCCCGAAGTAGAAAAATTTTCTTAAATAAGACAAAACATTTTGGTCTTTGGTGTCGTTTTAACGGTAAACTTTTGAAATTTTTTACTCTGTTTTTCATAATTATTAAGTGAGTGTGAGTATTGTTTTAAGTGTTGTTTACCATTATATATCAGAGTTACTACTGTGCTATGAAAATCGGTACTGATGTAGGGAAAAATTCCGTCATTACATTGGATTAAAAAATGTTACTTTTACATTGTTTATTTAAGAATCAAGACAGCTCCTTAAAGAGCTTGTAGGGCTTTGTATTGTCTTTTATTAGTACACAATATCAAAAAAAGTTGTGTGAATCTGATGACGCAAATGCAATTATTTTTATCAGACAAAAGGACAGTTTGTCACGTTTGTTTTGTAAACAATTTTTTATTTACTACAGTAAGCTATGTTTATTTATAACAGTTTATTATGTTTATTTGTACAGTAAGTTATATTTATTTTTCCTTTTTTCTTTCTTCATCACATTTAAATTTAGCAGTGCTCGTTTTTTCCTCAAACGATTTGAGACAACTATCGTGGAAAGTTTTATCAAACAATCAGCATGTCAACTCAGTTACATTCGACATCGATCCTTTTTAATTTTGACAAAAAAAAAAAAAAAAAAATCAAGCATCTCGATAAATTACCAACGATTTATAACCGCTTTGTTGTTATTTTGAGAACTGAATAGTCAAATCAAACGATGTATCGATTCTTATGTCATTATTGATAATTTTACAAAAAGGACGAAACAAAACCATTTTCACACAAGTTATCCTGTTGGTATACTTGGGTTGAACTTTTCCGTGTACAAGTTGCATAAATTTATTTTCAGCCCCAAAGTATTGGCTCTGCGCGTCAAGCCCGATTCGCGAAACTCAGTGGATAATGTGGATACGTAAATAATTGCCACGACTTCGCTGTTCGGCAGGCTATTTAACACGTGTACAATAAAATAGGCAAGAGAAAAGAAGAAAAGGAGGGAAGAAGAAAAAAAAAAAAAAAAAAATCGGTTGCCGATTAAAATATTCGAGCATACATTATACCCCGCTACATGCAGACACGCACTTTAAGCAGCTTCTCTCTCGCGCTGGTTGCAAGGATAATAATTATTCTTCCATCGACGAGCTTGCATAATTAAAGTTACGAATCTCCCCGCGGGTTTTTTTCTTTTGATAACGAGATGTGGAAATATTTAACGGGCATATTTTATGCATTCGTTCGGTATTCTTGCGAGCTGGGATCGCGTTACATCACCACAACACGAGGATCCGAAAGTTTCGCGTATTATAAATTTTGGGCCTCGATTAATCGTGCATTTTATAATCTCACCATGTATAGGTATATATGTATATATATTTTTATATTATAATGTAGTATATATACCACACGTTTCTAAAACGTTGCATAAACCACGTGGTTTTTGCACAACCGTTCACGCGTTAATGGATAACCAATGTAGGGATCATTTGAGTAAAT